ATCATTTACTTTTTATAAATAACCCTGCCAGCTATAATTTACTCCATTATTTGGTGAAGAAAACAAAAGCTCAGGGAGGTGAAGTGACTTTTCTAAGGACACATAGTCTTTAAATATCAGAGCCAGGCTTGAATTCAGGTCTTCCAAAGCTAATTCCAGCTCCGTGTTCTCTGGATAACTGAGGCCTAAAGAGCTGAGCCTTTCCAGCATTGCCCAGTGTTTTCCCCACGGTTTGTAGCATTCATATCAATAGATATCACACGAGACCAGGCTGAGCCTCCTTTTTGTCTACATACCTCCTAGAGGAACAGTCCTGCCATGTCTCATTAAAGCAGGAATTCTTTGAAAAATGCAAAGAAGAAATGATAATTTGTTTTCAAAATTAAATTCAAGGTGATAAATTCCCTTCCTGGGACTCACTTCCACGAGCTCGTGGCCTGGCATTCTTTCCTTGGACTTGACTTATATGTAAAGACAGGGAACACCTCCTACCTGTGTTTTTCTGTGGTGAGCATGCTTTCTGAAGAAACTGTTGACAACTCAGTGGCACGCTTGAATGGTAGAATCATATACTTATGCAGATTTATGAGAGAATTTTTCTTCTGTTAAAATTTCTGTTCTGAGGCAGTGTAATGGGAACACATACCAGATGGACTCAAGATGGTCTTATTTGATATCTATTAATATTACTGCTGCAACCCACAGGAAAGGCACTGGGAAGAGCTGGCTGACCCCGTCGTGAGAAGCATGAGGCTTGCCATTGCCTACTTTAGCAGAGTGATGTGCAAAATACGCCTGACACCAACTCACCCCAGCCTTGGTTAAGAGTTTACATTAATAATCTATTTATAATAAAAAGCACTAGCTGTGACACTGAGATCCTTTAGGAAAATAGCAACCCGAAGAGTTTATGCAAAATAATACCCTTGTTTGCTCATTGGCCTAAAATGTGTCAAGGACAAGACTTTGGAACTAAGACGCATGTGAATCTCAGCCCAAACCTTTTACCAGCTGTGTGACCTTGGGCAGACTTTGATTTCCATAAATACAAGAGGGTAATAATAAAATCTACTTATCCAGGTAATCAGGAGTGTTAGCACCAGTGTTCGTAAATGACCTAAAGTTCTAGGAGAAGGGTGGACGCTCAGTCAGTGGTTACTCTTGTTTTCAAGATTTTCCCCCAAGAAGTTACCTAGAAAGCATAAAATTTCCTCCAGTGAATAATATGCCCGATGCATTAATCACAATGGATATATGCTGTTCAGAGTCAACCTTTTTTTTTCTTGTTTTGGAACCTGTCTTAAACTATACTGACAAACTTAAAAATTCAACTAAGATTTGGCCTAGAAAAAGGTAAGAAGCCTGTGTTATGCCCCATTCAAAAAAAAGGGCCAATATGGTATTTTTCTCATTTACATGATGGTTTCTTGTTCTGCATCAGTGATAGTGAGGGCTTTTAAATTATCAATAATTGTTCAATAACTATTGCCAAGCTGTTGCTAATTTTCTTTGGTGAACACTAGCAAAATATTTGCCAGGATGACAGTACTTGAGAATTCTCCAAGTCCAAGAACACAGCATAATGGGAAACTAGGCCTTTCCTTCCTAATTTCCAGAGCTGTTTCTAAAACAGCACTTTCTTCTATACCAGGCTCTCCAAGGACACCAGGTTGGGCAAAATCAGGCGCATTATTGCAAACCTGAGTGTGAAGACTTGCTCACTTGGCATTTGCAGGAAAGAAAAATGAACTTCCACTTGCTATAGGCATTTAAATGCTTTGCTAGACGCTGTGGCTGCAGAGGGGACTCCTGCCTCCAAGGACTCTCAGTGGACTGAGGTCTGCAGGCATGCATTGAATCCCACAATGCAGAAGGAACTCCACCAAGTTACGAGCTTGTGTGATGCAGGAAGAAAGAACGGTTCTTGTAATGGTACAAAGATAGAGGAGGCCACCTATCTGACATAACTCCAATCTGATTTCATTATGAAAGTCATTTATTTCACAACGAAATGTCAAAACTTCTGTTGAGTGTGTACTTGCCTCAAAAAACTCTTTGGTTGTAAGTCAAGGGGAGCAATTCAAGCGGCTTACGGACTAAAAGTCAGAATGGACCCAAGAATGCTTTGTGAAGCCTTGAGGTTTAAGTGACAGGACCTCTCAAGGGAGGTAGCTGCAGCCAGAAAGGCCTCAGCTATCCGAGCGGTCCTCACACCTCACCTCTATTTCTCTGTGCGTCTGTTTCATTCTTGTTTCTCTCCCACGTGTTCCACTCTGCCTTTCCAGATGAAGCCCAGAAAACAGTTGCCCCACGGCATCTAAGTATGTCTTCTCTAAATCCAGTCAGCTAAGGGCTCTGTGTCCGGCCTTGTGGGACCGAGAGGCAGCTACAGCCCACCCAGCTAGTGGAGAAGTTTCTCAGGGAAAGCGAGTCATCCTTCATCGTGTAAAGCACTGGTCTGGGACTGTTCCTAAGGTAAATAACCCAAGTTGCACACATAGCTATGGAAATGGCAGGTCAGAGGGAGAAGGTTTGGCTTTAGGTTGGGAAGAGAGGGATGTTTGTAGAAGAAATAAAAATCAGCTGAGCATTGAAAGAAAGTTTCAACCAGCATAGTGAAGCAGCATCTTCGTCTGGAGTAAATACCTGAGATTCGTTGTCTCACGACCAAGGAAAACTAGGATGCAGACACACAAAGGGTGAGATTCAGAGTAAAAGTTTAATAGGCGAAAGAAAGAGAAGAGCTCTCTTGCTACGGAGAGGAGTCCCAGAGAAAATGGTTGCCGCTTCCGCAATGAAATGCAGGCTTTACAGATGAGTTTGAGGGGGCAGTGTCTGATTTACACAGAGCATGAAAGATTGGTTGGTCCAGGTGTGCTATTTGCATAGTGCATGTAAAAGCTGGCTGCCCCACCACAATTTTTTATTATGCAGATGAGTTCTCTGCCTGGCTGACGTCATGTTGCCTGGTTCTCTACATTCCGTGTGGTGACAAAGAAAATGGAAGATGGAAACTCCATGTTGAACATACCTGGCCCTCAGGTAGCACTTTTCTGTTGGCACAGTTGCCAGCCTTGACACGTGCAAGCTTCCAGCTTGCTTACCTATGTCTGCAGCTAGATTTTTTTCAGGCTATTCTTTGTTAGAAAAGAAGTGATTTAAGGGCTGCTTTTTATTAAAAAGGAAATTCTGCTGAGGACTCTGATGCCTTTACTATCTGCCTAAATAATTTCTTTCTACCTCCTATATCAATAGGGATGGGGAAAAAAACCCCAGACCCACAGAATGAAGAAAAGTCTAAGAAATAATCAGACAGTTACCACCGAGACCAAAAACAACAAAGAATTACGTGCCAAGAATTAATGGAAACAAGCAGTTCAGAACAAAGGCTGGAGTGAGTTTGTCCTAAAGTTTCCCTGTGGGAAGTACATAAGGAAAGCTGTGGGCCTTCCAAGGCGCTGGCTGCAAGGAGCTACTGAGTCTCCATCTCCTAGGCGCATCTTCAATTAACCACTCACATCCTAACCCCATAATGGCATCTCACTCTCATTCTGGCTAGTTAATATCTATTGAGCAGTTAACCACGTGCCAGGCACTGTGCTACCTATATTACCTCAAATGATTTCCATACTAGTGCAATGAAATAGGTGCCGTTATTTCTATTTTACAGATGAGGAAACTGAGGTTTAGGTGAAGCAAATCTCTTAGGGACGCATAGCAAGTAAGCCACAGGTGCAGCTTTGTGCAACGCCAAGACCCGTTTCTGCAATTACTGTGATGTCTACCCTCCACACGTTCTGTCTTTTATTTGTCAACTAGATTGCCAAAAAGCTGGCACCCGATACGTCTAATTTTCTGCCTTCCCTAAGAAAATAACTTATAATTCCAGACCACCTTCATTGGTTGGGAAGAAGGAGCTGAGGATGATGAATTCATGCAGATTCCCGGAAAAAGTCTCATATAAAATAAAAGACAGCCCAAGCCTCAAAAAGCCTGCATCAGCTTTTGCGTGTCGTTTGCCTACTCTGTGTCTTCTGGATTCTGAGCTCTTGAAATTGCTATGGCTGCCTATTTTCATTTGCAAAACTTCTCACCATAGCATTATAGCTTTGGTAAGTGCTTTTGAAAGCAAAAGAGCATCTATATTTAGCACAGAAGGTCAAAAAGAAGTCTCTAAATAGAAAAATATGTGTGCTTAAACTTTTGTCTCATTTAAATATGAAGATAAATTTAAGCACTCTTTGGTGTCAACAATTCCAACCTCATAAATTAGAAGCAACCACAGTAAACACATCCAGCAGCATTTAAGTTATCCTTTTCTTTCCCCTAATTATAAAGCATCAGGCTGAAAACATTCGCGTTGATTTACCCAATTTCCTATTGTCAAGTTCTAAGTCGACACTTGATGTGATTATGTTAATGCGCTAATTAAGTTTAGTGTCCTTTACTGTACGTTCTCCTCCCAGCAAAATAAGAAAATGCAAAGATAAGTATGTTTTCCTCGACTGTGGTCTGGAATAAATAGGGCAGATGCCCTGTGAGAGCAGGAAATATTATCTTTTACGTTGAGTTGCCTTAGATACAATTTAATTTGAACAATTGAATATATTTATGAGGTGCAAGAAGCAAATAAAAAAGAGCATTCAAGCTGTGTAGTGTGCCTTGCTTTCACCATTAGAGCTGAAACGACAGTAAGTGCCCTCATGTGTGAGCCGGAGTGTTTTGTGGGGACACTGCAGGGAGCAAAAGTCAAGAATATGTTGCTTGTATATTTCACCCAAGGCCACCTTTAACTTAAATTTATATCTTGTTCTATTTTTTTTCTGACTCAATTTATGCAGACATTTTCATTATTTTGCACGTTGATATTCCTTCTGATTTCCATTTTTAAATTTAGAAAAAGGCCTGGGGCCAAGGTCTTGTCTGTGATAATGCATATTCTTAAAAGAGACAGAAAGAGTCCGTTGTTTCCCTTTGCAAATTAAACTACGACACGATACTTTGTTAATACTTAAAATTTTAATTTCATGTTATTGAAAGAGCTCTTTTTGATTTATTTAGTTGTAGATTTTTATCATATAACCCTCACACATATATTAGTTAAGCTTTTCCTAAAATTGGATCATAGTCAGAGTCTCCTGAATCACTTACAACTAAGAGTCGATGACCATGTTTTTCTTCACGCGTTCATCCTCTGGACTTGACGTTGAAGCATTTCTCAGATGTGTCCCAATGCTGCCTCCACGACATGCTGCAAGTCTCGATGCTGAACTTTCTTGATCTTATTAGAAGGACCATCCAAAGGTTTTCAGTCTAAGTTGTGCATGCAGAGAATAACAATTATGCCAATATGACAATGACTGTGAAACACCACTGACTGTAAGCCACCTCCTGATTTCAGAGAGAACCCTAGAATCCATAAAATACTGTAAATCCACAGCAGCACTTTCCTCCTCGGGCTGTAGTGAGAAATATCCCGGAATAGTGCCTAGTACTTAGTAAGCATTTGGTAAATGATAGCTGTCAGTAGTGCTACTCTAACTTGTTGGGATGGCTCTGTATATGTAAATTATCGAATAATTAGGGTAATAAATTATATCCATAAATTATACCCAGGCTTTAGTTATACAAGTATTTTAGGAATGTGTGCCTGTTTGGTCTCAAACAATGAGGAAAAGATCTCCTATTCAGTAAATGGTGCTGGGAAAACTGGCTAGCCATATGCAGAAAACTGAAATTGGACCCCTTCCTTATATCTTATACAAAAATTAACTCAAGATGGATTAAATACTTAAATGTAAAACCCCAAACCATAAAAACCCTAGAAGAAGGCTTGGGACAGTGACTCATACCTGTAATCCCAGCACTCTGGGAGGCTGAGGTGGGTGGATCACCTGAGGTCAGGAGCTTGAGACCAGCCTGACCAACATGGAGAAATGCCATCTCTACTAAAAATACAAAAATAGCCCTGCATGGTGGTACATGCCTGTAATCCCAGCTACTTGAGAGGCTGAATCAGGAAATCGCTTGAACCCAGGGAGCAGAGGTTAGCAGTGATTTGAGATTGTACCATTGTACGCCAGCCTGGGCAATAAGAACAAAACTCCATCTCAGAAAACAAAGACAAAAACAAAAACAAAAAAAAACTAGAAGAAAACCTAGGCAATACCATTTAGGACGTAGGCATGGGTAAAGACTTTGTGACAAAAATGCTAAAAGCAATTGCAACAAAAGCCAAAATTGACAAATGGGATCTAATTAAACTAAAGAGCACAGCAAAAGAAACTATCATCAGAGTGAACAGGCAACCTACAGAACGGGAGGAAAATTTTGCAATTTACCCATCTGACAAAGGTCTAATGTCCAGAATTTACAAGGAACTTAAACATATTTAAAAGAAAAAAAATCAACAACCCCATCAAAATTGGGTAAAGGAGGCCAGGCATAGTGGCTCACATCTGTAACCCCAGTTCTTTGGGAGGCCAAGGTGGGTGGATGACCTGAGGTCAGGAATTCAAGACCAGCCTGGCCAACATTGTGAAATCACATCTCTACTAAAAATAAAAAAAAAATTTGCTGGGTGTGGTGGGGGGCCTGTAACCTTAGCTACTTGGGAGACTGAGGCAGGAGAATCGCATGAACATGGGAGGTTTCAGTGAGCTGAGATTGTGAGATTCACTAATTATCAGAGAAATGCAAATGAAAATCACACTGAGACAATCTCACACCAGTCAGAGTGTTGATTATTAAAAAATCAGGAAACAAATACAGCTAGTGCTTGACTTACGACCATGATTGGTGCCAACAGACCGGTTGTAACACGATTTGGTCGTAAGTTGAGTAGGCTACTGTATATGTACAGTACTATGAAATGATGTTATAAAAATCTTTAAGTCATATTTTATCATAATTTTCTTTCATTATTGTTATATATCATAATTTTCTTTGTTTATTTTATGCCATTTGTATCATCTCTACACCATTTTGTTTCTTATTTTTACATTCGTCAGGTTTAAGTAAAACACTGCATTACCAGTACAACTGGTTTAATATTTGCAAAACATACAAAATTACAAAATACAGGTGCATACAAAAATACAAAATACAGGTGTAAAAAATACCATAGGAAACATTTTCCCAATTGCAAAACATATCAAAATATATAAACATGTACGAAACATTTTATTGGTCGCTGGTGCTTGGCTGTGGATTGTTGATGTCGTCATCTGAGGCAGCAGTTGGGGTTACCGGAGTTGGTTTTTTCATAAACATGGTGAGCTTTGTCTGAATTGTATGTTTCTTTTTTTCTTCATAAATTTCACAATACAGATGAAACACATCGTGCGCCATCCGTTCAATCCTTGCAAATCGTTCAATGTTTGGGTCCATTGCTTCGAAATGTATAAGAAGTTTATTGGGAGGGGTTTGATGAAAAATATCCAAGACACAAAACACAAATTGCTGTACCGAGTCTGGGATAAGAGTTGAAATGGTGCACGCGGCAATGGTAGTGCTGCTGGAAGCTGGTCCGCACTGTCGTACGCCCAGCTGGGCAAGGAAGCTGGTCCGCACTGTCGTACGCCCAGCTGGGCAACGTTTGCGCTGCCAGACGCGGAGCAGTCGTGGCTAGCGATTGTGGTCATAAAGTCGAATGGTTGTAAGTTGCATAGGTTGTAAGTCGATCAATACCTGTACATGGTGGTGAGGCCGTGGAGAAATAGGAACACTTTTACACTGTTGGTAGGAATGTAAATTAGTTCAACCATTGTGGAAGATAGTATGGTGATTCTTCAAGGATCTAGAACCAGAAATACCATTTGACCCAGCAATTCCATTAATGGGTATATACCCAGAGGAATATAAATCATTCTACTATAAAGACACATGCACACGTATGTTTATTGCAGCACTATTTATAATAGCAAAGATATGGAACCAACCTAAATGCTCATCAGTGACAGACTGGATAAAGAAAATGTGGAACGTATACACCATGGAATACTATGCAGCCATAAAAAGGAATGTGATAATTTCCTTTGTAGGGACATGGATGAAGCTGGAAGCCATCATCTTCAGCAAACAAATACAGGAACAGAAAACCACATGCACACATATGTTTATTGCAGCACTATTCACAACAGCAAAGACATGGAACCAACCTAAATACCCATCAAAGATAGACTGGATAAAGAAAAGGTGGTACATATACACCATGGAATACTATGCAACCACAAAAAGGAATGAGATAATGTCCTTTGCAGGGGCATGGATGAAGCTGGAAGCCATCATCTTCAGCAAACTAACACAGGAACAGAAAAGCAAACCTGCATATTCTCACTCATAAGTGGGAGCTGAACATTGAGAACACATGGACACACAGAAGGGGACAACACACACCAGGGCCCGTCAGGAAGTAGGGGGTGAACAGAAGGAACTTAGAGGATAGGTCAATAGGTGCAGCAAACCACCATGTCTCACGTATACCTATGTAACAAACCTGTTTTTTGAATAAAGAAAAAAAAGCTAATCTGCAAAGTCTACAGACTGTATGGTTCTAAAATATATGACATCCCACAAAAGGCAAAACTACTGGGATAGTAAAAAATTAGTGGTTTCCAGGGATTGGTAGGGAAGGAGGGATGAATAGGTGGAACATGGAGAATTTTAAAAAGTGGATACACTTCATTATACATTTGTCCAGCCCCATGGAATGTACATCACAAGGGTAAACCCTGATGTAAATTATGGACTCTGGATAAAAATGATGTGTCAATGTAGGTTTACTGACCATAACAAATGTATCACTCTGCTGGGATATGTTGATATTTGCGGAGGCTGTGTGCGTGGAGGGGTAGAGGACATGTGGGAACTCTGTACTTCTCACTAAATTTTACTGTGAATCTAAAACTGCTCTAAAATAATACTTTTTAAAAGTAGAAACATTTCTAGATTAAAGAGACATAAAGTCGTGACAACTAAATGTAACATGTGATCCTGGGTTGGACCCCGATCTTGAATTCTTTCTTTCCATAGAGGACAATTTTGGGATAATTGGGAGAAAATGAGTAAGGTTTATAGCTTAGATAATTATATCAACGATAATTTTTTGATTTGATAATTATAATGTGGTATGTAAGAGAGAGTCCTTTTTCTCAGTAAATACATAAGAATTGAGCAGAAGGGATTCTAGTGTCTCCAGTTATTCTCAAATGGTTCAGAAACAATAACATTGGTAATATACATATATATACATATATATGTACACACACATAGAGAGACAGAGAGAGAGAGAGAGAGGAGAAATGATAAAGCAAATGTGGCAAAATGTTAACAGCTGGGGTGAAAGGCTTATGATAGTTCTTTCTACTATTTTTGCAACTCTATTGTAAGGCTGATATTTCAAAATAAAAAATATAAATAATTGGAAAGACAAATCACTTCACAGAAAACAAAAAGTGCATGAAGAGTATTAAGCTCGTTCTGAGCCAATGATAGCATTGCAAATTCCCTTCGCAATGTTTTTGTCACTCACATGCACACTCATAGAACTGTAGTCTTAGCGTTTTCTTCTTTCTTCCTGCCTTCTTTTAAACTCAATCTCATTTCACGTAAACAATTTCTTCATTGGCAGAGTGCAAAGACGTGCTGCTTTCAAGGGACATTCATTTCAGGACCCCACCAGTTGGCTGGGCCTTGGTGGTTTAGCTGTCTTCCTATTGTTACAAATTAGTATTTTTGTTATTTATTAATTCCTAGTATGTTTATTTTATTCAACAAAAAATAGTGTCAGTGTTAGTACTTTTATTAATGTAAAAAGCCTACTCACTTCGCCTACCCCACACCACCCCCTTGTTCTCACATCCTGTAGCATCATAAGGTGCATTCAATCACCTACCAGTGAAAGCACAATGATGAGTTCTCGGAGTGGTCAGCCTGCTGGCTCCTGCATCTTTAGTAGATGCAGAGACCCGATGTTGAATCTGGACCATGTTTTTGACTAGCTGTAGGACCTTAGGCAAGTTATTGAGTCTCTCTACGACTCTGTTTCTGTTTGTTTTGTTTACTTAAATCATTATCAAAAGTTTGAATTTATATCTTGCTCTATATGTGAATATTGAATATCTGCTCATTATTTTTTTGTTTGTTTCTTTTATTTACAGAGAGCCTCCTCAATCTCATTCCAATTTACTTCACTAAGTTAGCAAGAGAAGTTACATTTCAAGTTTCTGTGTTAAAATGGGACAACATTATCAGTGGGGAGAGCTCTAGTTTGCACAAGGTAATACTTTGAGATTGACTGAGCAAGAATTTTGGAGTCAGATTTGTCTGTGTTCACATATTTAGCTATGACATTTATCAGCTGTGTGACCTTAGGCAAATCATTTTAACTCTCTGAGTATCAGTCACCAGATCTACAGAATGAAAATAATATTAACTGCATTAAAGAATTACTTTAAAGGGTTAAATGAAATCTATATAAAACAATTTTGCAATATTTTAGACACTTGGTAGATACACAGTTTGTATATATATATATGTGTGTGTGTGTATATATTTATGCGCACACATATATAGATGTTTACCAAAATATTCACAAAAAATAAATATGATATAGTTGTTTACAGATTAAAATTGGAAATCAGTGAGACAAAGATGCTCTCTAGGGAGGCCAGGGGCTGCTCAGTATCGTCCTGGGGCATGACTACACCCCTTGGTCTGGAACCTTGTTTTTTCTTTTTAGCTCAAGCAAAGCCCATCAGGTCCTGCGGGACAGACTGACCTGATGATACGTCAGTTCATTTTTAATAGGGAGCAGAAATGACGAGTAAGCTAGAGTGAATCTGTGGGCTGATCCGCTCATTACCTTTTATGGAAAAGTCTCCTTAGGAAGCCAGATTGTCCTCTGAAGGTTGCTGGGGCAGGGTGGGTTGTGTGTGTGTCCGCGTGTGGAGTATGAGCTGGAAGTGGAGTCACGGGAGATTAGAAAGATGGCCTTGTGGCCTGTATCACTGAGTCACACGTAACAGCCTAATGTTCCCCCATCAAGGAGGAGACTGGCGGCATGGCAGGGAATCACTTGGGTCCTGGGCACATCTTCTTCCTTGACGAAGTTCCTCATAGACTATTCTTTGCTATTGACAAAGAAGTTCTTGAGTATCATTACATTTTATTATGCTTTTCTCCAGAATGTTACTTGTAACAAGTCTTTATTCTTTTTTCCCCCACCGAATACATATTCATCTTTAGCAGGTCTTGTTAGATTTGCTAGCTCTTTTTTTTTTTTTTTTACATTTGATCCAAAAAAGATCTTCCTTTAAGTTACCATCGGCTGTAAACAGTTATATCTAATTTGCCCTTATTTCCAGTATCTTGCCTTCAATTTCCTGTTACCATGGTCAGAATTTCAAAAACAGCTTCAGAAACCATCATGCCAACTCAGCAAACAAATTCCTCCTCTTTTTGAGCCCTCTGAGTAGGGTGACTGGGGAAACTCCTAGTTAGGAATAGACTTTGGCCCAGAAAAAAAAGAAAAATGAGAGTGTCAAAGACACATTATATGCACAGCCTCCGAGACATGTCACAGTTGGCAAGGGGGCTAAGGCCCTGCGGTTGGCTCTCCTTTGACCAAATTCTTTTTTTTTT